ATTTATATGTATAAGATATATTTACAGTATATAAAATTACATCAAACCTAGATAAGTGTGATTCAAGTCTTTTGTTTGCTGAAGCTCAAACTGTTTAAAACTTCCACCGCTGATTTGAATGGTGAATTATGGATGGATGAAAATGAAACGATGGCCTCAAGATAGTCGAGCTAGGATAATCAGAAATTTTGACACTTTTCCATTAAGACTATGTCACTGGTTATTTACATTCACTGATATTAGTGGTAACATGCCGATTTAATTTTAATTTGTGTCTATGCATGGGGAAATCAAACAGATTAAATAAAATGATCGTGTCGTTTATCTAGTCTTTAGTGCAGATCAAATCCTATCTATCAAGTCCTAATATGACTTCTAGTCTTAGTGAATAAATATTACCTGAAGTATATTTTGAGCTTAGGTGCTTTCTAATCGTTTACAGGAAAACGTAGATTTACAAATTGAACTCATTATTACCATTTAGCAAGAACTAACTTCAATTTCGAGGAAACTGATGCTGCTTGAAGGATTCCAGCTCATATTATTGAGTTTCGCATTCCGAGAGGTTATCAAGATAAAAATTATCTATAACTTGATGAAAGTTGAAGCTAAATGCATTTTTCTGCTCACCAAAAACTTCTGAAAAACCTTTTGCTGCATGGATATACCGCTAATCATAAGAAATGAAAGAACTCATATAAAATCTATTAAAGAGATGTCAAATAACTGGTAATAATACGTAATCCTACAAAGGTATCTGATTGTGATATTAAACAAAAAGAGGGTTGCAGAATAGGTATACAACATGAACAGAGGATCACTTATATTGATATATTACCCTGATTACGGATCGGGTCTACCGGATGTCTCAAAATACTAACTCTCAGAGGCAGTGATACATTACTTTTATTAAAGTTTTAAGGAAACAGAGGAATAATTTTGAACGAAAGAGCCTTATTCATTTACTGCATCCATACAAACGCACGAAAATTCCGTTTTCCTTCCTCAATTTTCGTTAATTAATAGACTATTTAATGAAAAACTCATACGCTTAAATTAATGAAAAACCTAACATTAAACAACGTGGACTAAGCCGGCACCAGTTTATCCAACAGGTGTATCCACAAACCACAGACCACAATACGGGAAACCAGCTTAATCACGTCTTCATAAATAAAATATTCAGGTCCATCGAGCACGTATGTACAAAGATGGGGACTGATATATGCTTATATCTTCACCTGATAGTGGCCAAGGTAAAATTGAGGCCAAAGAAGCATTGAACAGTTGGCGAAGTAGTAATACAAAAGTTTGTTACAGCATTCCTTTCAGATGATAGTAAATCCAGCAAATTCAATATGGTTCTCATCAACAAGTTTCAAACCTTGCAGGATCTACTCAAAAAAGAGGAAACCATGACAGACGACGATTGGAAAACAATCAAAGAAGCCATAAATTCAACTTGTCACGACGTGCTGAAACCCAACCAGCACAATATTAAACAATAGACCGCTGTAGGCAATCTAGCGATGATTTTAAAAGGGAAAAGCAGCAATACAACAGTCATCCATAGTTTAACAAAGTACAGTGAGTCAAACTACATTTTGAATATACAGAAACGAACAAGCGAGTCAAGAACATTCTAGTTGACAAGCGAAAATACGAGGAAGACATGACAACTACAACAGGACAAACTGAAAGAGAAGAAAATATGAGCCAGTAGAGAAATATGTTAAGCTGGTCAGTCAGGAACAAAGGAAGCAAACCGATAACCGAGAATCAGGACGAGTATGATAGGTGGGTCAAACATCATGGAGAGTGCGTGGATAGATCAGTGACGCCGAGAACACTGGATACTGGGCTAGCAAACATTGACTTCCTTGTGAGTGATTTCTTACCAGCAGTAGAAGTTATCAAGACCAATCTACAAATCAGGAATGCCAACTCCATAGGTTCGGTTGAACCAGCTAAAGCAACTGTAAAGATGCACAAAGTACATTCCATAAAGATTTGGGAGAAAGAATAAGTAGCAGGAGACTTGTAAGAGGGATACCTGAGCGAGATCCCGCTAAAAGTAGATCTTACTAAGTGAGAGAATTATCGAGGCATCAAATTACTGTCACTACCGTGCAGAAATCTCAACAAAGCGCTCCCAATTCAATGGGCCCCCAACTTAGAGACTTTACAGAACTCTAATGAGGGGCTGAATTGCAAGGCTTGAATTGAGGAAAACCCACAGATGTATTACAAGTGAAAAACCGGTTTCAAATAAGGGTGCTTACTCTTGCCCTTTTTCTTCCTTGACTAGATAATGAAGGCCTCCACATCCAAGAAAACGTGAATTATGTTGGACAACCAGGAGACACCTGAGTGATTTGAACTTCAGAAATGACAGCCTTGCTATCATATGCACAGCGACAGATGCAGACGAAGACAACCAGTCTAGCAACAACTATCTGCGAAATAAGCATCGACGTTCACAGAAGCAAAATTGAGATTCCAAAGTACAACACAGTGAGCTACAATTAAACCTAATTTGATGTTAATGCTATGGAAGTGGTGGAAGCCTTTACTTACCAGGACAGCAACAGCGATGAGAATGAGTCGGACGCATATTTTGAAGTATGAATTGTTAAAGCAAGAGCAATATTCCTATAATGGAAGAATATCTGAAATTCTCAAAACCAAAGTCAGAATCAACATCAATCTTAAAACAGTTTCATTGCACGGACCTGAAACGAGGGGTAGCAGAGTTAATCAAGTAAGTGTACGACTCAATATTCACATGATTCATAACAGTGATGTATAATAAGTAAGGATAAATTTCGCAAATTATGAAAGTAGCCCTTCAAAACTTGAATCACAATGATTACTTTTAACAATGAAACTATGAATTTCTTCACATAATTTCCTGATTTAATGTTGTATTCGGCAAAATGAAGTCAAATAATGAATAATTATCACTTACTAAATTCTAATTTGGTTTAACAAAGACCTATATGTTTCAGACAAAATAATGTAGTAACTTTTGATTCATTTTCAAAGTATGAATGTGACTCCTCAACAAAATCGGTATCCGAATGAAACTCACGAATCTCTTAAAATTAGTCTCCTCCTTTATCTTGAACAAACATTGTAGTAGACGGAACTTTTGTAACGAAAAATTCACTCTGTTATAATAGAAGTATTGTATTACTGTTTAGACTACTGGATTGATCACTTAAGTTGATGACTACTTACAATGTCTTTAATTTGTTTATTTCAAGAGAACAAGTATGGAAACAGGTACAAAACAGATGAGTTTCGGCTTTTTCATCCGAATTGTATGATTGCACTTAAGGTTCACAGAGACTATGTGAAAGCAAATATTATAGATTAATGGTTGTTAGCATGTGGCTTGTTAAGGGGTGTATGAAAGAGTAAACAGAAGGGTCCTGCGTAAAGACTTCATCAGACAGTCAACCAAATAAGTTGACGCAAATACCACATAACGATATTAATGAGAATGAGAGCTTCATTCAGAATAACAGTAGACGAGAATGTCATATTTTAAAGCAGTAACCTTGATCTTAGTGACTCCGAGAATAAGAAGGTTGAATTTATAATTAATAAAAAAGAAGGCATTAATGTATTGAATCATGAGTAGATTGATGACCGAATTGCCACAGTTATGGTAAAATATAAAGGAATAGACCTTGCATTTAGCCTGTTCCTACATCTGATTCACGACTTTCCTGAAAAGGTTGGTAACTGTGTATGAAGAACTGCTATATTTTCTCTCTGATTATTTCTTAGATAAATTTACCTTCTATGCTTATCTTTAAGCCTTTTATCACATCAAATGAAATAAGAAATAATAATATCTTACCAGACTTATCACTTTTGTAAAGTTAACTACTCAATACTGCACATGAAGTAAAAAATTAACGAAACTTTCTACTAATAAAATAAGTATCAACTGAAACAATATAATTATGTTTTTTTATATGAAAAGTGATGATAAGGCTGACTGTGATTCGTATCAGTGAAAATCTAATAAGAAATATTCATTGATTGAGGTTGATTCATGTAACAGTATGAACTGAACCAGTTTTCATGAACATGAACTCATTTTATATTGTTATCTCTAAATAAATGACTTATCATATTTTTATCTTGTAAGATGTCATTTCACTTTATATAAGAAAATATACGTTCTCGTGTAACTATAACATACAGAGAAGGTTAAACTTCTCTCCATATAAGCTGATATTGAATAATGATTTAAAGTCATATCAAAATTAAAACAAAAGGAAAACAAATCTACTTCAGCTGTCAATGTTTTTTTATTTATTGATAATCGATTTCGAATAATCTCAAGGGTAAATTAGTCGAAATTTTCTTCAAAATGCAGAAAAACTATTCGGAATTCATGATCAGAAATACTTTAAGGAACAATAAAGATGATATATTCAATTAAATAAGACAAATACAAACTGTCACAAAATTAAGTCTGAATTGATATTTGAGAAAATAAAAATATTAAATAAGAGAGGCAGCAGTGAAATGAATATCTATATATAAGGATAATGAAACCTTTTTATACATAGAAAGAAATAATTACAACGGAAAAATTGGAAATAGTCAACTAAATGCTGAATTCATTCACAGGATCTTCACAAAAGATATTGATTGGTTTTTTTAATTAAACGATTAAATCTAAATTTAAAGTGATACTCCTAATACATTCTACTCTGTTTGACAAATATCTCGAAATATCTAATAGCTATAACTTTTAAGTTATGAAAGATCAACTTATTACATTCGAAATCTACAAGCTACTAACAACTTTTTCAGTAGTAAAGTATTATATATTCATGTGGTAAAAAAAGTAGTTTTATTGATACTAAACGCATCTTGTCAATATAATAACATGGTTTAAATAATATAGTGTTCTGCCTTTAAATGGATTGTAAATTTCATTTGAACGGCTTTTTAATACCTCAATTTTCATATATATTTTATTTGCAAGTTGCACAATCGCGGTTCTGTCCTCCTATAAGCTGATAGCTAAAAGACCGAAAATTATAAGCAGTATTATTATTATTATTATTATTACTATTACTAATTTATTAGTAGTGAATCAAACATTTCAATCTCATGGGTGAGAAAAATAAAATGCGCATATTTATCTTGATATAAAGAATGACATATGAGGTGAAGAAAGTTGTTTTCCTTTTAAACATTCTATTACATTACATTTTGGATAATGAAAACTTTATTTAAATAATTTATAAAATACAAATATCAGTATAGGGGTTGTGGAGATTGTTAAGTTTTGATTGAGATCATAAACCGATTGATGTTAGACAATAGGATGAAAAAGCCGTCCAGTGCCTCCAGGTTTTAAATGGTGGTCTAACACCAATCAGTTCATGGTCTCAATTAAAACTTAACAATCTCCACAACCTCTATACTGATAATTACCACGTGCTCATAAGTGACTAGCTTCGTGAGAAAATTCTCGAAGTTCTGGTGAGAAGCCGTGACCAGTGGAGCCGATCCGTGTTGGGCAGAAACAGGTGTCTACCTCAGTACAATGGAAGATGGTTGAACAATTTCGTGGATTGGTTGAGGTTGGACATTAACATCATTGGATGCCGGCTCAGTGGTCCAGTGGGTTAAGCGTTCACGCGCGAGACTGAAAGCCCTGGGTTTGAATCTCGCGGGGTGCGGGATCGTGGATGCTCACTACAGAGGAGTCCCATAATAGGACGAAACGGCCGTCCAGTGCTTCCAGGTTTTCAATGGTGGTCTAACATTAATAAAAATACAGACATATTTCAATATGATGAAATAAACAAAGAAAGACTGTCAATTTTTGTCCTATGATTATAGAAAATACATCTACCACATTGTTTGTTGCATAAAATCCAAATAATCACTACACAATGATCATTTTTCTATTTTTAATTTCTCCATTTACTATTCACAAATGATTGTGTTGATCCACTTAATAAATGTAGAAAAACTTAGGGACTGCTGACACCACATGCTCATTTCTTACTCTGAAAATTTTGAGTCAATTTATGTCTACAGTGTAGTCAAGTATCCCTGTAAAATGTAATCTTACATTTCATTCCATCATTGGATAATGAATGAACCTATGTTGTTAAATGCTCAACCAATTTCTTTATATGAATTGTTACATTGTAGTCAGTAAGATAAGCGATTTAAGAAAGCAACATGGTTTTTAGATAAATGAGTTTAGCATCACTCAGAAACATCAGATTCCTTGAGGCTGCGGTTATATCATAATGACCATTATCCACAACAGAAACATTTTGATAGGATTAAGGATTAACACTATTGACTAGACAAGATGATACTGTTCTGTAAACAGTGACCTTAAGGTACATCACTGTTAAGATCATTTTATTTCTAGGGAAATACTACAGTTAGGAATTATTGACATATTAACAATTTAAAAGTATCTACAACTAGTGATTAGAAGAAATGATATTGTAGTGATCAAACCACGGGTTGGGACAATCGATCGTATTTAACACAAAATTACAGGACTTTTTAAAAAAATCTAACAATCATAAAGTAAATGCCTAATTTGCAAAATGTCCACCAATTGTCTCAAAATGACTCAGACTTCATTGTTCTTGCATTTTCATACAAATTGAATTTTATTTCCATTCTTTACTGTTCGATCCTCTTGTTTCTCTGCTGCCAGACCTTCTGTTTACGACTCACATCATATACTACTTATGTCAATATAAGTAGTACACACCACAATATTACTAGCGACGATCATAGAAAACCTAATTGAAACATATTTGTCATTCTTAACACTTCTTCCTGTGTAAAGATCTAATTAATGCAGATAAAAGTTTTGAGGCATAGTACACGTACGTGTAACAGTCTATTACACCAGCAACAACCTTATATTATTTCTACATAAGCTCGCAAATTTTGTATAAACATGAGGTAAATGTTATAATATAGTAGTCTAGTCAGTAATAATCTACTATTTAATGCAGCGAATACTAAATTCAAATCTTATTATGATTAGGGGTATCATAGTATTCTGATGTTACGGACTACTACAGTTTGAATAAAATTTGTTCAAAAAAACATTATCCAGTTATATATACAAAGGAATTTCTATACAAGATACTTGTGTTATGTTAATTTAGGCTCGCATCAATACAAACAGATTCGTTTTCATGACGCTTGTATAAGAGGTCAATTGGGGTGATATTTCGGTGCGTGTGCATAAATTCATTATGACTTACGTTAAGTTAATTTTTTCTTTGAAATTAATCCCCAGTGCTCGCTAAGTTATTATGAGAAGGGTTCGCTCTAATTTTCGGTTTGCCTTCAATACGTTTTGCAAAAATTTTTAATTCACTCAAATTGTCAGTCAACATTTCATCAGTTCTTTGTCTTGGTGTACGATTTGTCGATGATTTTGTATCGATTGTTTTTATAGGACGAATAGGTGTGTTATCAATCGGACATGTTGATGACCTAACATGATAAAGAATAAAAACAAACCAACAATTTAAAAGTTGAATCCATGTGTCACTTAAAGCTAGACCACCATGGAAAACCTGGAAGCACTGGAAGGTCGTTTCTTCCATGTATGGGACTCCTCAGTAGTGAGCAGTGTTGTCTCGCGAGCGAGCGCCTAACCTCTATCGTGGTCTAGAGGTATCATGAATCGATGAATGTTAGACCACGGTGTCAGGTAGAGACGGATATCTGCCTCAGACAATGGAAGATGGTCGCGCAAGTCCGTGGGTTGGTTGAAGTTAAACATCAACACCGTTGGATGTCGACTCAAAGGTCTAGAGGTTAAGCGTTCGCTCACGAAGGCGATGGATCCTGGATTCAAATCCCGCGAGCGGGATCGTGGGTACGCACAGCTGAGCCCCATACTAAGAATAAACGTCTGTTCAGCGATTCTAGGTCTTCCATTGTGGTCTAGCTTTAATTGACTCACGAATTCAACTATTAAATTACTATAATATTCACAAAAAACCCTTTTGATTACAAACCAATAACTTTGAAAGCATTCAAGTGATCAGAAAAATATAGGATATTCAGATTTAATTATTGTCATCAAACTAGATAAGCCTTTAGTTTACTTGTGCTTTGTAGGGAAATAGTATCAAATGGAAAAGTCATGTACATACGTGAGCATTTACCTATTCGCCTATTTGTTATATCCTGACGAGAATTACGAATGGTAACTTTTGAGAACTATTTGTGGATCAATACGATACATATATTTTTAATGTATAATTGTTAAGTAGCTAAACTACGTATATTCATGTTCCCCCTATCATAAGCTTTATTTTGACCCACAGTCTATTATTATGCGATTTACCATTCTTGAGTCATGTTCGATCTATTAATTACAGTCTCCCACATTCACAACCATTTTTGGCTAGATCTTGTACAAATGTTACTTTCTATTTTATAGTACGATGTGGTCTGTTTGATTTGTATATAAAACCAGTGTTTGAAATGCATGATTAACATCGCGGAGGTTGAGATTGGTGTTCTGGACTCAACAGGCAGGGCTAAGTAGGAAGAAGGACCGATAAAGACTCTAGACTGCTCTTAGGTGTTTATGCCTCATTGGTCCAGTTGATAAATCACTGTTCTCTAATTGGCGGTATCATTACATTATATATTATTAGGGTACAAGGCTACAAGTTATAACACTATTAAAAAGATAACTTATGTCAATTAGTAGATTGATTCTTGAACAATATATCAATTCTGGGTATGCAGTATCATCCAAAGTTTTAAAATTATCTATCAGATCAAACAACTGAATTCAAATGAAAGGTGTATCAGAAACTTATGCACAAGAGAGCCATAATCTGTTCGTGAGTTCATTCGTAAGAGACATGTTTGATATTTCATTCTATCTTGCGGACTGAACGCTATATTCGTCTCCTAAGCTATTCTGCAACCCCCAAGCTAGAACTATACAGCGACTTGAACACGAGAGAGAAAACTCAAAGTATGCGAGAAGTAGTTTAGTCCAAGGTTCACTTTAATACAGGAAATACAGGGTTTTTATAATATTTTAAATGTCCTTGGGTTGCTATAATATTCTGGAATGCTACTAAACATAGTAGCAGTACAGCAACCAGCCAATCAGAACCTCTACATGTGACGTTTCGCTTCCATGATATTTTTGGCAAAAACTTCAAGTGAACGCTGATTGGACGAAACGCTTCTTAGTGTTTCCTGATGCTTGCTTGTCTTTTGCAAGCAATTTTCTGGATCACTCCAACACTATCATAACAATAAGCCTTCTTATCTCGATATGGATACTTCATTACTACTTGACTTTCTTCTTGAAATTCGTTATTTTATTTATTTATTTATTTGAACACATAAATATTGGTACAAGGGGGAACCAAATACATATGCGCCACACAAAACAATGAGAATGGGAAGAGAAAAAAGAATGTAAGGTGCGTATAAGGAAAAAACAATAACGACAGCAGATTAATGTAAGGTAGTGTAATAGTAATAATAATGGGTGAAATGGAAAGGTACAACCGGAAGAATTCTCTCAGTTGAGGAAGATACAACCACTTTTTACGACGAAAGTAAAAGAAGGTTACAGCAGGATCGCCACTGACTTTTATTCTGAGCCATATCTGATAACGTCTCTAGCCACTGTGTTGCACCATCTCTAGGACCCCAGTCATGGAGTCGTGAGGGACCGACAGAAGCCAGTCCTTTGCAGCTTTCTTTCATACCACAACACCATGTCATACACTGACCACCTCTCCGCTTCTTCCAACCAGTCCCAGAATCGGCAAATAATGCACGACGTGGAATCCTCTGGGACGACATTCGTAGAACATGTCCAAGCCACCGAAGTCGGTGTTTCAAGATGGTGACACCAATTGGATTATCGTCTCTGTGCCCGAACACACGATGCCGAACCTCTGCATTACTGACATGGTGTTGCCACTGAATGTCAGCAATCCTTCGGAGACAGCGATGATCGAACACAGAGAGTCGTCTAACGTCCTCAACTCGGAGAGACCAGGTTTCACAAGCATAGAGCAAAACTGCTCTCACCGACGCGTTGTAGATCCAACTTTTTGCAGCCAGACTAACATCACGAATGCGCCAAAGGTGGCCCAGATTGGCATAAGCCGCTCTGGCCCTCACTATACGTGAATCGATCTCATCACTCACACCACCACCAGCACTCATACAGCTACCCAGATACACGAACTTCCCGACTACTTCTATCTGCTCACCATCCAGAGTGAGTACAGGATTAGAATCCTGCCAGTCTTGTAGAAGTACTTTGCACTTCGAAGGTGCAAAGCACATACCATTCTTATGGACACTGATTGCCAACTGATTAAGTGCGGGTTGCATGCCTTGGGCATTATCGCACCAGTAAGACAATATCATCAGTATACTCAAGGTCGAGAAGTCTTTCTCCAGGCAACAGATCCACACCGCCGTTGCTTACATCCATCAGAGCTGTTTCCAGAATGTCATCGATGGCAAAGTTGAAGAGGAATGGTGAGATTGGGCAACCCTGCCTAACCCCACTGCTTGAATAGGACAATTGAGAAAGGTGGTTGTATGCCCTCACCCTACCTGAGGTGTTTGTATGTAGGGTCTTCAAGATGTTAATAAACTTCTCAGGCACACCCTTCTTCAAAAGACAATGTCAGAGAACCTTTACACTCTTCAGTTACAAGCTGTCTCCATTTTACTACTTCTTATCACTCTTGAAAGCATCATAAAACGTTTTTCTGATACCAGAAGTTTCCCAACACTTTGCCAATAACCAAACGCCATTCTGTTTTATAGCAGGTTACTGCGTGTAAAATAGCTATGAATAATAGATCGATATCATGAATGGATCAATGTTAGAACACCATTGAAAACGTGGAAGCACTGCACGACCGTTTCGTCCTAGCATAGTACTCCTCACCAGTGCGCATCCGCGAACCCGCAAGTGGGACTCGAGCCCAAGACCTTCGGTTTCGCGCGCGAACAATTAACCTCTAGACCACTGGGTCAACAGTGTTAATGTCTAACTTCAACCAATCCACTATAAGTATGATTATCCAGAATTATTAAATGTTCTCGTCGAAAATAGAAGTTTCTTTTTTAGATACACACACGTATATTATCTGCATATCTTCTTTTCAACAATTAAATTATGATTCGTATAAATTAAATTTTATACCATTAATTGACGAACTCACTTATGAAGCAGCCACGGATCAATACAATATGAATGAAAAATATGTTGACAGCCAGGTGACAGTTGTCTAACTTTATCATTTACTTTAAAAAACATTAAACAAAGAAGGCATTGACGACCTGGTGATAACAATCCCATCGAGAGTGATGTCCCTGAACGCTCTGGAAATAAATTAGAACTTGTCGATGACTTTCCTTTCACAGATTTAATTTTATTATCATTATTAGTTGCTTTGTCCGACGGTTTTAGTGAGGTGAAATCAGAATGATTTCTGGGATTTCTAATTGTCCACTGACGAATTTGAGCTAATTCAGCTAATTGAAGAGGTTTCCATTCTTCGTTAATTGACAAATGGTTGAATTTTTCTGTTGAGCTTAAAAAATTAAAAAATACACAATCAAAATCATTTTAAGTGTTAATTCAGGATTCTATAGCTTCTGAAACGATGATGAAAAAAACTAAAGTAGTTCCATTTAGAAACCAAATAATATTATCTTGCATTAAAAACGATATTTCGAAACATGGTATTGAAGCAATAATTTATAATTTTTAAGGAAGAGACATGACAAAAATCTTCTATCGTCAATCTATTAAGCTCCAAAATGCCCTGGCACGGCCGAGGGTCGGGAGAGTCAGCTCTCTCTCCCGAAACGCTCTCAAGTGGCCACGTGCATACAACCACTGCCAGGGAATTCCTACTCACTGCCTTATCTCGGTGTGTGTGTTGTTCACGAAATTGAGAGGACGAAAAGCGAATGTCCGGTACTATAACCGGGTTGGTGGGTATGGAGGACCCACCTAGGGAGGTTGGAAAACCCTGACTCCAAATCAATGATGTACATGGTCTCCATGATCCTGAGGGAACAAATGGAGTATGAACTAATTGTTGGCCACCGGCTGCCATTGGACTGGATTTTCTAACGTTGCTTCACTGCCTTGTGGATTAGACCTTTAGGTCGAAGGCTATCGTGTGTCCCCCTAAGAAAATCACCAATTTCGTTTGGACACCCGGGCAGTATTACAGCCCGCACACAAATCAAGTGACTTATGTAGCGCATATGTATTCGGTGCCCCTTTTTACCAATATTTATGTGTTTAAATAATAAATAATGTATTATTGTAATATATTTATTTCATATTGTTTCAAGGTATTATTTAATGTATCTATTGACTTAAAGTGAAATAATATCATTTTATCTAAAAGAATAGATGAAATATAGTTAAGAAAATGTTTACTTCAGCATATAGGTAAATGATAAGTATTTATGATAGGGACTAGAAATTTTTACATACAGAAGTTAAATTGATACGTTACAGGAAATTAGCAATCAAAACCAATTATAGGCAACTTTTAGACAATGAAGTTTATAGGTAGTTCAGAAGACGCGATGCAACTAAATGTATTCTGAGATACCTAGTTCAAATTTACATCATTTGCGTTTGGTTGAATAACTGAATTTCGATGGCTCAAATCTGTGAACATTATTCGTGAACCGAAAATGTAGAAGAGTACTTGAAGAACTCTAAAGAGATGAACTCCATACCACACCATTTTTGAAAATATGATGAATACTGTAAAATGTAAAACATAAACAAAAACATTCATCATCCATTCTGAACTGATTCGATTCCAACCAACGAAAGCGATCAGCCAGTGAAAATCATTGTGTTAATCCACACTATCGTAAGTGACTAAACGAACGCTGTTGAATTTATCAAAAAGCTCGGTTACAGATTACTAAACATGTCTATGATTGAGAAAAAATAAACTCAATCAACCAGGATGAAAAGGCTCAGTATTTTGTAAAGATTCTTATGTAAAGTTACATTGACAACGAAGATTAATATATTATTGAAAGCTCTGTCATAAATAACTTTACAAAAAGTATACCAAATTTATTTAACATTTTTCTAAGCCATAAATATTTACTACCATATTTTTAATAGTGGTATTCATTGAAAAGAAACCAACTTCCTCGATTATCCAGTAAGTAAGTACGTCATTTTCAAGCGCATTGTTCCTTCAGTAAACTAATACAAAGGAATTTTTCACAATACCATTATTAAACATACCTTGACTGAAGGTTTTCATTGCTTTCTTGAACTTTGCTAACTAACTGTCCAGAGAGATTTGTAATAGCACCTCGATTGGGTGGTACTTCAAGCCATTTTCCGTGTGATGTCTTAAGGACAAAATTGGAAACTTCTCTTACTTAATTAGTTGGATATAAAATATTTATTGAAAATATGAAAGTCATGAATCGAAACCTGAGCAAGATTATAAAAATTCAACTATATCAGTAATCCTCGGTCGTTTCAATCTGTAAAGTGTTTTTGTTAAGAGAACAAGTTTTCAGCCGCCAGCGTCATGCCACATTATATGTTATCAGAAAAGGAGACGGCAATTTACACCACCAATTAGTTTTAGTTTTAAACAACTGGAGTAGTGACTAAACTATTTATTTATACTACCTAACTAGAAACCTATAAAAGCCAATAATAATGTCTACATATAAAAAACCATTCCTAGACCTTATAAAGAAAACATAGTCACGTTCCATTAATATTGTTGATAAATGTTTTATAGGTTTAGTTTAAACTCCATAATAGACTGAAACTAAATGAAGAAAATTCATCGGTACTAGACACTTATTTCATCTTATCTCCCGACTGTCCAGCGATGCCCGACAACCAAAACAGATATAAACGAGCTCAGGACACGTATATGTTGAGGAAGATATGTTATCTTTAAAGCACAGAATGAAGATATGATAGTAAACATTCTTAACTTCTGCTAATTCTCCTTTCTCTTGAACTTTACATGTTGAGCGTAGTCCTTCAGCTCAGCCACAGTAACACATGATTGATTATCTGTAAGATGTAGTTTTACATTGTGATAGTTAGTACACTATTATTTTACCATAACTAGAACCAAATAGCTAAATTAACATAGTAAATGATTTTTTTAATACAAGGTTAATTTCCATTTATATTAATAATGTGTTGAAGTTTTTAATCATTCAATATCTTATCTTCTTCTCATTAGTTTAGCGTAAGCAGTTCAATATCACTGAAAAGTTAGCTAACACAAACAACATATTTTCATTTCATTGATGCTCAATTGGTAGCTATCCGATTTTCTTTGTATATAACTAGTACAGTGCAAAATGTAGTAAAAATTCGTACACTTAAAAAGCACAGCTTCAAAAAAACATTGAACAAATTAATTACAAGTGGTCGGCAGGTAAATAAACTCGATATTCATTTTTTCCTGCAATTTATTCAAGAAATAAATAGATGGATAAATTCAGTGGAAGTTAAACATTTTGCAACAAGGATTTATCTGTCCATTAAACTAACCTTTAAATGATGATAACACTTCATCTATTACGAAAATCCAGTTTGACAATGATTCCTATTTAGTGATAGCTAAATTACATATCTGGATTCCTCAAGTCTTAACAGTCATGGAGATTAATTATTATTTTAAATATAAATCAATTATATCCATTGATAATCAGTTTTTTTTATCTAAAATTTTATTTGTTTAACAAATTTTTAACAATTCGAAGATTTTTATCATCAAGTAGAGAGTCATTTAAAACTAGGTCAGTCCTATACGTCAAGGCTCGTCATTAGAACCTTGGAAAGTCCATCTTGATGTCAGTTAAAGCTTTTGTCTCCGACTTTATATGAAGCTGTGAATAATATTTCAGTGAAATATCACACTAGTTAAAATCAATTATTCTACATCATTTATTATTTATTGACTGGAATCATCTTCAACTTATTCTAACTTTTCATAAAACTACCTAATTAACACTAAATCAGTATATTTAAGTTTCAATTAAATTAGAGAGAAAAAATTTTATATCAACATAATTAAAACTATCATACCTCTCTATAAACATATAGACCATGTTGTAAATGCTTATTAGAACGAAAACATAGTGAACATAAAAACGGATTTAAATTTTCATCTTGTCCTAATTGATAGCATATTTCACAACGATAAATATTACCTAATATTGGCGAGCATAAACATGATAAACATCGTGTATTTGAATGTCTTGTTTGCATTGTTTCGATGTTCAGTTTTCTCTGTGCATCGTTTGCTTGACCAATAATGGTCATATTGTGAACATGTTTAGGTTCAGTAGACTTTTTAATATCTGTTTTCACATTTTCCGTAAATTCCCGAATAAGAACATGTAAGGGTGCAAAATCCCCTCGACAAATAGGACATTTTACGTAATCCATTAATCCTGGCATAAAAATACGAAAATAAGTGAAGGTTTGTAAAATCCTTTAGACGTAAACTACTTGCCATCATGTTGATAATAATAGTATACAATATTATTAACAAGTAGAACTTTACAATGGATACTTCATTCATATCTGTCTAGATACATCTTATAATTCATAGTTAACCAATTATATCCAACCGATACAAAAGAGACTCCAAGCAAACACATACTTCGTGCACATTTTATTACATATTTCAAAGTGAATACCTGCATATTAATAAGCAAAGATTCATAAAAACTGCGTTTTAGCAACACCTTTACTATCAGTGAGTTAATATGCTCTGCCAATAGTGTGTCTGCTACACAAATTATAGGTAGGAACATGTTTAACGACGAGTAGCTGGATAAACTTTGAAAAAAGAGTTTGTCAAGTAGCAAAATGAACCACATATTTGCGAAAAGTGCAGAGCTCTCCTTGATATAACATTAATGGTCGTTAAACTATCACTTGGCGAAACCATGAATACTATTTGCCAGCACTCTGAAATCTTGAACCGATCAACATAAAGTTCAAACACTTACTATCTATGTGCTTAAATGATATTCAGTTTACATTCGACAACTATTGAAGTAGAGACGAAGCTCTTGACTGATACGTTACTGAATAATAGTTATACATTGAAGTTCATAAACCGCTAGAAGGGTTGCAATACGACTAGACCTATGACGCTTCTGGCACCCAAAAAGCGAGTTTGCATTACGTTACCATTCAGAGACGACACAAATAGTCTCATATTGAAACGGAGACTTAAATTAGCTATCAACTAGATTTTTTATGCAGCCCAAATTGTCATTATCTAAAAGACGAGGTCTATGTTTCACCAAAAACTCAAACAGCACGAAAACGATTGTGTCTCATCCCACTGAGTCTATCAGTTTACATGTATGTGCGGAAACACGTACATAGGGAGGAGCAATCGTGATCTTCAATTAAGGGTAGGTGAACATATACCAAAATGGTTGCAGAAACAAATGGATTCCGATGGTCAAATAAGGTCACAGGATAGACAGACATCATCCTCCATTGTGGAACATTCGAATGAGACTGGCCATAAGGTTGACATCAAGTCAGCATTTGTGGTGTTATACAAAAGCCTTCAAGGACGTATACTAAGGTTTATTAAACCCTTGGCTATACGGAAACTGAAACCACCTTTATTTGTTCAAAAACAATTTGTCCTTACAGTTAACCTACCTCGATAATACTGGTTTATTATCCAGAGTGGTAATCACATTTGTTTTTGTGTACTATATTTTTTTGTTATGGCTCACCTTTAACCTGTCTAGTTGACCTTTTAATTTTAATATATAAATGTTCCTAACAAGTATATGTGTGATCAGGTTGTTCGAAATGTATTGCGCAAATATATCACATAATTCTGATAAACTTCGTCTTCTCATTGCATTATCGAAATTTATCAAAGGAACTAATTGCTCTAAAAATAAATGAACATCTTTTTGGTAACAGTAGTTTTTGTAAACTGACTTTCAAATGCGTTTTGTGCTCTGTTTTTGCTAGTTGATCAGTCGCTCAGTTAGAGCTCTCATTAAACTAGTGAATACTAAAACAAAGTCTTAAAGTAAATTCAGCAGTGATTTGGATACATGAAAGTAATCTGAGGATTGTCCACAAGTTAGTTCATCATGCTCAAGGTACATTTTGTATACCTGTGGTAAACTGTATTACAATATAACAGTTTTAAGTAATTTAAGTTTGCCCGAAAATTTATTATAAGAGAATTTTTAATTATGAAAATAAGTTTATTTGTTAAAATACTCTACATCTAACTAGTAATTGACTTCACACGCAAGCATTCCATTTTTTTAAGAAAGGCCTCATATGTGTTGCCAGTTAAATAAGATCGGAAGCTATTCTTTTCAACACTAAACTAATTTTATCATACAAAAAGTCAGAATTATCAATTGTCTAGTGAATTTGATTGGACCTAAAGATTATTTCTTAATTTTATTTCCAAATTTGATTTACACGCAATCTCTGAAGCAGTCTATGCGAAATTCGACAAAGCAAGTATGAAAATTCTTCTAGACCAGAATTACTAATGATTTAATAGTTGTGTACCTAGTTGTTGTTATTAAACCGATACTTTTCGAAGACCTTGAAAATGATAGCGATTGATAAACAGGAGTAATTTTTCTCCCAAAAAACCTGATAATCTGATAATTAATGAATATTACAGCTTTGAAATTTCAGTCTGAATTATTTCAAAACGAAAAATTTATCTTCGAGACAATTTTCAAAATTCCGCTTACCTAAAGGGTTTTGTTTTCTTTGATAGTCTGTCCATACTTTCATACATCGTATATGCAGACTGTTGCCACAATTTTTACGGCAAAATGTTACTGGAAGTCGCACTTGAGAAAAAAGGTAATCCTGGCATATTGGGCAAATATCGTTTTCTCCAATTTGGCGTTGTAGGTTATATGAAGGCTTACTTAGTTAAAAATACGTAACACGCATACCTTTTCATCAAATTTATCCTCATTCAGAACTTTAGGCTGAGTTAAATTTGTGACATTATTCGTTACTGAGTGCTGTCCGTCTAAAAGAGCTGATATTTCTCGCTCAACTAATCCAGATTGCCAAGATACTAAACAAAAGTCAGTAACCTATTTTTCATATACCAGGATTATTTGGGTCTACTTTGAATCGTCTAATTAATATCCAGCATAAATGGACACATAGTTCACGATTTTTTGTAAAATCACCACATGAGCAAGTATGAACATCACCGAGTTGTACCTAATGCGATAGGTTTAAAGCATTTTAGACCCACCTTATATTTTTGCTTAGAACCGTCTTGTAGCAAGTAAAATGTTGGTCCATACTGTTTTAAAATGTATAGTGTGGAGTTTTGTGCTTCTTCTTGATTTCTTCTCACAATATCCGGGCGTTTAATCTGATGGCTAATGTAATTTGACATGTGTCTGTTTCAGTTTCACTTCGTACCGCAATTCAGTTTTCAAAATCAAATTATTTGTCAAGGATTTAACTATCTGTCCATCATTGTTAAACAATAAGTAAATTCTATAATGAAAATAAAACGGGCTCTATGGACCATTTGAAAAGCAAAACTGTGTTTGTATAAACAAAGCAAAACTTTCATGAATGAAACTCATAAATAATTCATATAATCTGACCTTTATCATAAACATCAGTTCAGACTTGCAACTTAAATTTCTTATGTTACCATACCTACTTAAATAATAAAGTTTTTAGTATTAACTCGATAGTAAATTAGTGGATTGAATTCAACCACCACCGATCACTAAACAAATAGAACATCCGTCAAACGTCAGTAATCAATAATTGTGAAAATTTCAGTTTTGAAAGACATCAGTTGCTACCCGAGTACCTTAATAGCAACGTTATTAGCTGTGGCACTGGATGATGTGAATCCAAAATTAAGTCTGAGGCTAATGGTTAACAGTTATAAGTAACGGCAGAAAAAATGCTTCTACGCTATGTTTTGTTTCAATTAACATATATTAGATCCTGTGTGATCCCATAAAAATAACACCCGGGAAAGGCTTTTCCGCCCAATCTCTCTATTTTGGGGTTTTTTTGCCATTTTCCAGAAGTTTCTGTAGCGGCCCTCCCAAAATTTCCTCAAAAACGGTAAACGTTTCCTCGAACTTGGGCGGCCAGTTGATCTACAGATAGTCAACTCTATAGAATTGATTGGGAACACTATTATCAACAAAATTTTCCCTTAACAAATTTTAACAATATATGCTTTTAGAAATTTAAATTTGCCATCACTTTTGACTAAAACCGGTTGCCTGTAGGAACTGAGAAAGTACTCGACTCACTTGAGTCAAGACCTCAGTTAGCACAAAAACGCACTACGAACGGTCACAATCAGCAATCATGTATGCGCGTAACTGAAGAAATTTTGATATTGGGATAAGAGCTCAAGTGTGTAACTTGATCAGATGGCTAGGATTGCCGTTAACGGCGAATATATAGGTGAAAATTCGCAAATTCGGTGGATATTTAGGCGATAAGTCGGTAATTTGTTGACAAAACGGCGAAAAGGGGGAAAATCCGCATTATTTCCCCCGTAAAGGCGAAAGAGGCGACATTCTGATGCGTTTTCCCCTTTATTTCCCCTTTGTTCGCCTTTATTTCCCCTTTTTGTGTTGTTTGGGTTCGAGTAAATCTGGCGAGACTCTAATTTATGGACGAGCCAATCAGAAGAGTTTGAGGAATTTCTGGGTCACGGCGCCAATTTCAGCACCTGATACTCACGTACGATCGGTTTACAGTGGACTTCAGAGAAGACATGATTAATGAGCAGCTACAACGGATGGGACCACTAAGAAGTTCCTTTATTTGTGGCTGCGGCTATCAAATAACTGCAGTATCGTGTTTCGACTATCATGATGACATTGTCTTTTGGTGTTCTTTATGTTGGAGAAAGAAGTCTGCTCGAATGGGAACTTTCTTTGCTCGATCGCGATTGAGACTAATAAAAGTCATGATAATTGTCGCAAATTGGATAATAACAGAACCAACAACACTGGCTGCAACATTTGCAGATGCTGATGAGACTTCAGCTGTCAAATGGTATGAGTATTGCCTGATTAGCTAATATTTCACAAGGTCCCCTGAGACTCGTTCAAAGGTACCCATAAATCAGAGTGATATACGAATAAATTCTTTGCTTTATTAGCACCCAACTAACTTCAGTGATCAAACCAAAGGTGGTGATTCATCTAGGTAAAGAATCAATAGTTTGTAAATAGATCTCTATTTTGCTGTTCCTAATGTTACATCGATATGATCTCAGTTTAATTTTTACCCTGAGTTGGTACCATAACAACACTAATAAAAACAATCTATTGTTACCAGCAATGTCCAATAACCTCAAAACGGGTTAAGATAAATAAGTTGATTTCAGGTTTTTTGTGAAATTCGGGTGCCTAAATACTAGTTTCGCTGAAATTTCAGGATTACAGAGGTGAAATATTTCATTCTGGAATACTGCCTTGTAATCGTAAATTCACAGGTTCTGAACTCTTTCTGCGCGCATATTTTATGAACTTGTCGGTAACTTGTGGTTGTAAATACTACTCTCTTGTTCCAGCACTATATTTTGCCATTTTATGCATGTTGTAATCATTTATGTAGTGTTTTTGCTCTTTGGTCCAGTTTAGATATTTAGAGATAGTAGATTATCCGTGTAAATAACTGGGTGCAGGAACGTCGCGACCAACCAGTTTGTGCCGAAGTCACAATAAACGACTAGTACCTAGCGCGAATTACCTTCCCACTGTAACTAAGTACCACAGCTATCTTTCCGACTGTGCCACAGACGACGTTATGACAGAAGTACATTACCAAGAATAGATATGGTATTGACTTTAGTCATGCTTCTTCAGTAGTTGGTTTTAGTGCAAAAATTTTTCCGCCAACAGTAAAGCGTTCAAAGCATGAGAGGGTCAATGACTTCAAATTACGTAATTATTTGTTAGGTTGTGTTGAAGTGAATGAATAGGGTGCTATAATTTATTAATTCGAGTTTTATGGAGTTTTCCCTTGCTAAGTCTTTAAATGGCTTGTAACGGCAAGTAAATCTCCAAAGTCACTGGCTCTGTAAGTCTTCAACATTTGATGATTACGGCATTAGTTTTAATGGACTCACCTAGCTGAAGGCGCTCAGTCACGCATGTGTACCAGATCAGGATTAGGTACGTCGTGCTTCTCATCTACGACAACTAGCCAGCTTATTGCTTACTTCTTGATATAACGATATTCTGTCAAACGCAACTTTGAACCTCTTTGCTTCTGACCTTTAATTTGACTGGGTTGCCATATTTCGATTAATAAAAGTGTTCCTGTTTAAGGCGTTGTCAAACGCACAATACTTTTAACTTTTTCAAGCTCGATGTCTCTTTAGAGCTCCCACAAGAAGCTTCATGTTCAAATTATCATAATTTAACTTGTGTTACCGATACTCAAGAGAATAGGCTTTCTAAGATATCAGCTATGGATGTAGGGAAAAAGATTTTTGATGCCAAAGATATTCAGTCCTTCCGCACCCTACCTGTTATTTTTTCGCACAGAGCTTCGCTGTAAAAATGAAGGGTTGAGAGGATCCACTTATTCCACCTTACTTATTCAAGCGGCAAGCGATATTAATTAAGAGGTCACACACAGCCAACCTTGGGTCTAGAGAAGTCGTACAACTGTATCATGACTGTAGAGAATTGAAGGCTGGCGACCTACACGTCTTTAAAATCCTGACACAGTTGTCAATGTACCACAAAATATGTTTTCCATGAGCTATCAACTTATTTTAGCATTTGCAGCAGAGAAATTTAGAACTCAAGCAACCGAATGCCAGTGGTATCTCGCTTGTCATTTGCTTCAAAGTAAGTCTTATTTTTGAACGCTTCGCAGACAGGTTTTTGGGTCGTCCAGAAACAGCACTTACTATATTGAAAGATTTTTTGCTGTCAGTCTAGCTCTCACTTTCTTTCTGGCTAACAACAGAAATCTAATCCCCTCTTGAATCAGTCATGTCTTACTCAAACAGCAAAGCACACTAAGCCAATGGGGGTTGAACATATTTTGAACACGGTGGGATTTAAGGTGGTACTCTGTTATATCCTAATGAAGATTGAATTGCAAGTAGAGTTTGGGACTATTAACAGACCAATATAATCTATATATTCATATGGTATAACTATTCAGTCACTAGATTGTATATATCTATATTCCCCTTATTCTAAGCTTCAATATGACCAATAGATTACTATAATATAATTTACTGTCCCTAAGTTATACTCAGTTAATTAATAACTGTCTCCCACATTCACAGCCACTTTTGTCTATATTTTGTACGAGTGTTATTTTTTGTTTTATGGTGCGTTGCAATCTGTTTGTTTGGTATGTAAACCCAGAATAGTGGAGATTGTTATTGGCATTCTGGACTCAACTGGACGGGCTAGGTGAGCAACGGACCAATAGGACGCTAGGCCGATCAGACCGGTCGAACGTCATTGTTTTGGTACAGTATGAGAACGAATAAGTCGTATTTTGATTGGCGACTAGATTACGTGATAACAAGCGGCCCATAAAGTCACAACATACTCGTTTTGTCGGACCATTTATCGCACTCATTATATTACATTCCATACTAAGCGTGGAAGAAACGATTGATATATCACTCACTAATATTAAAAGTGAATACTTTCACATATGAAATTGTGCTCGCTGTTGAAGATAAGCTCTTATTGAGAAGGGGGCAAAATGACTAGTGTTGTGGTGAATCTACAGTTTCAGTTCTGGATTCACACACCAATGCAAAATAAACTATGGTGGGGCCAAGTCTTAGCTGTGTAGAGGATGTAATTAAGAGACAAAATAAGGTAAATGAGTGACTCAGAGACACACTTGAAGATTACCTTTAAAACGGTTGAAGAAAGAAATTTGATACTGGGAAAATCACGCAAAATTGTTGGATCCGGAGTGTACGTCCGTGAGGATCTCAGCCTGGTTGACCGTATTAAGAGACGAGCTGCAAAAGTAGAAATAAATGAGCGCCGCCGAAACGGTGAAAGAAACCTCGTACTTAACGGTTTTCAAATTGTAGAAGTTCGGAGCAAAACGATCACCAAACCACTCTGGGTGGTAAGGGAAAGTTCTCCACAGAATTAAGGGTGTGCTACACAAATACTCGCAGCCTACTAAATAAAATGGCGGGGCTCAAGATGTTATTGTTATCTCAGAAACCCGATTAACGTAGCGAACAATATTTCTTCGGAAAGGGTTTATCTTGCACAACAAACCTTATAGCAAGGGGCATTGAATAAAGGCACTAGACAGCAGAAACTCAGTGGATATTGTCTACATAGACTTCAGCAAGACATTTGACAAGGTGCCAACAAATAGACTACTATTGAGGCTTGAAAATCT